AGGGTCTTCGGGTGGAGTTGGGGGGCTATCGGTAATTGTTATAAAAGGAAGGGGGGGGTGCGTCGAGAGTCGTTGAGAGTCTCACTGAATTATTCACTCGTGATTGGGTTACGGGCTGCCTGGCTGGGGTGGATGGCGGGGTGAGTGCTCGTGGGTGAGGGGAGGGGGTGGGGGGTGGCTTTTAAGCCGCGATCCGCTCCGATTCCAAACCCCGGGACCCAGGGCCCGAGTCGCGACCTCCGCTCCCATCGCAGTCGCGTGCCGCGCGCTGCAATCCAATCACGCGCCCATTACCAAAATCGCATCAGCGCAGCAGCTACTTCTGTCTCATTTCCCCCTCATTATGTCCCCACTGCCGTGTCGGCAGCCTGGTGGTGGTGTGGTGGTGATGGTGATGATGATGGTAGTGGTGATGGTGGTGGTGATGATGATGGTAGTGGTGATGGTGGTGCTGGTAGTGGTTGTAGTGGTGGTAGTAATGGTGTTGTCATAGTCCTAACAGTCTGTTAAGGCTATACGGGGGATCTTTGTCTTTGGTAGTGGTGATAGTAGTGGTGATTGTAGCGGTGGCGATAGTGATGGTAGTGGTGATAGTGGCGGTGGTGTTGGTGGTGATGTTAGTGATGCTGGTAGTGATGGTGATGGTAGAAGTGGCGGTGGTGATGTTAGTGACGCTGGTGGTGATGTTAGTCATGGAAGTAGTGGTGGTGGTGATGTTAGTGATGCTGGTGGTGATGTTAGTCATGGAAGTAGTGGTGGTGGTAATGGTGTTAGTCATGGAAGTAGTGGTGGTGGTGGTGTTAGTGATGCTGGTGGTGATGTTAGTCATGGAAGTAGTGGTGGTGTTAGTGATGCTGGTGGTGATGTTAGTCATGGAAGTAGTGGTGGTGGTGTTAGTGATGCTGGTGGTGATGTTAGTCATGGAAGTAGTGGTGGTGGTGATGTCATCATGTGCGTCATCGTCACGTCCTCTCTGCCCGTCTCCTGGGTTGGGATTCTCGCTGGCAGTGAGAGTCGCGGCCTCTCTCCCCCCCCTCTCCCCCCCCCACTCTAGCCCCCCCCCTCCCCCCCCCAACCCTCGCCCCCCCCCCCACTCTCGCCCCCCCACTCTCAACCCCCCCTCCCCCCCCCTCTCCCCCCCCTCTCTCCCCCCCCCACTCTCACCCTCCCCAACCCTCGCCCCCCTCCCCCACTCTCGCCCCCCCACTCGCCCCCCCCCTCTGCCCCCCCCTCTGCCCCCCCACTCTACAAACAGACTCGAATACGTCATTGTCAGTTTACTTCCAGCGCAATAATCACCCAATCAATGTTATTCATGTTCCTGGCACGTGATGTCACGAGGAATTCTTTGTCATGAATATAAAGTCGTTTATCCGAGCCAACTTGTGTGACAGGAAAGGTATTGCATTGAACACTGCTTAGGTTGGAGCAACGGTGTCCATGTTGTTCTGTAATGCGATTGTTTCTGTGCCGATTCCCATTTGCGTTCTATCCGGTGGTTTGTTTTTATTCACGCGACTCGGATCACGCGTGGTCGAGGGGGGGGGGGGCATGGGCGGGGAGCAGGAGGCGAGAGGGGGGGCGTTCGATGGCTCCCCTCGACCCCGCGAATTCGCTATCTCGGCCACGCGAAGCGGAGGGGCCCGCGAGGCGCTCTGCCCTCTGCTCCCCGCACCCAGAGGCTCGGAGGGCCGCGAGGCGGTGGAAGTCGCGGCGACATCAACGCCTCGTGGCGCTGCGCCTCGCCAGCAGCGCCGATGCCGCCAGCCGCTGCCAGTTGCTGACAGGGGGGGGGGGGGCGCCTCTCCGCCGCTCCCTCTCTCTGACGCCACGCGGGTCCCCAGTTCGACAGGACCCCCCCCCCCCCCCCCCAACGTTACTCAATGCACGACGCACAACACTCGCTCGCGTCACGGTGGAGAATGTGAGCAGTGCCGGATTAAGGTAGTGCGGGGCCTGTAGCATATGTTATAAAGGGGCCCTACATCTTTTTTTCAAAAACACATACATATTAGAACACGCATTTTTTACTTGCATTTTAAAGCAATTGTATTTTTGTATTTGCTATACAGCCAGATAATACGACAAATCGCTAGTCGTCCATAAAAGTTGAAGGCAGTATAGTACTACTATATATACTAGCCTAGAGCCCGTCCAATGATGAGCGTATTGCAGTAAATGTGAAATTTGCAAGCAAAAAGCAGAGCGCGACGTGAAATATTCATTGCATCCATTCGTGTGCAATTTGTAAGGGCGCGGTGACACAGACCTATTTCATTTAGAGGTTATAATCCCTTGTTCATCATGACGTCCTTTTTACTTTGATGTCTTAATAGCGTTACGGAGATGGCGTGACGTGTGAGTTGACGGGAGTGGGGAGGAGGCGCCCCGCCCCCCCCACGTGGAGTGACGTCACCCACTAATTATTATTAATGGCGGGGGAGGTGTCCATTTGGAGGACCCCACCTGCTCATGATTATTAATGAGGGGAGTTCTCCATGCGGAGTGACGTCACCCGCTCATGATTATTAATGAGGTGCGTTTGCTGGGTCATGTAGCCCGCATGCCCAGCCCCTGCATGGTCAAGCAGCTTTTGTTTGGTCGGATAGCGGGGGCTAAACGGGCGCGGTACGGGCTGGGGAAGAGATGGGCTGGTGTGGTACAGGAGGACGTGGAGCTGAGTGGACTTGCCGATGACCGGTACCATCTGGACATCTGTGAAAACTACTGAGCATCTGTGAAAAAGAGCTTCATAGCTCATCGGATTCCTCCAGTACAAATAAATATTCTGGTCAACGGTGTCAAGGTCGGACTGTGGAGGAGGCTCGTGAAGGACGCTGCTCTTGGGCAGTTGGAGGCAGTCGCGCTCTTACGACAGCAGAGGGCGGAGGAGCGACGCTCACAACAACGAGCGGAGCGCCGAGCAGAGCGTCAAAGGGGCACAAGTGGTGCATCTGCCAGTCATCTCAGTCAGTCAACTCCTGTATGTATCCATGTTGAACTTCTTTTGCGCCGTACGTAGCCAACCGCGATAATCGGAGGTGCTAACCCCTGGCACGTGGGTCTGTCCCGTGGCCTCCTTTCCAGGGACACTTTGACACTTCACGTGGCCTCAAAGTGCACCTTGCCTGGCACAAGCGCCGTGGTGACGTCACGGCGGTTGTTTGTATGGGGGTGAGTGGTCGTCAAGATCGACTTCTATGGAGGAGGCTCGTGAAGGACGCTGCTGCTACTGGGCAGTTGGAGGCAGTCGCCCTCCAGCAACAATGGAGGGCAGAGGAGCGACGCTCACAACAACGACCGGAGCGCCGGGCGGATAAAACTCAGCAAGTTGGCACAGTCGAGGGTACAGCTGGTGCATCTTCCAGTCATCTTAGTCAGCCAAACCCATGGCGCAGGGTCTTTTCCGTGACCTCCAGTCAGCGGCGAGCCTTCGACACTTTACGTGGGCCTCGAAGCGCACCTGGCCTGGCACAGGCGACGTGGTGACGTCAGCGTCACGTGGTGGCGAGTGGCGGGGTGATTGGTATTGGGGACAGGAGGGAGGGAGGGGGACTGATCAATGTCCGCGGAGTGAGTCCTGTTCCCCCGCCTCGCTGCGGTGCGAGGTCGCCCCCTGCTGAGCGCTGCGTGGGTGGTCACGAGGGGCGGTGGACGACGATGACGACGACGATGCGAGCGATGCGAGTGATGTAGTGCCACTCACACGCGCAGAGACGCGGGGTGGGTGAGATCAGTGACCCAGTGTGGGAGGGAGTCAGTGCGTCCCGTGTCTGTGTTGGGGGCCGGACGTGTGCGGGGAGCGGCAGTGTAGCGGTCAGCGCGCTGCGCTACTAACCCAGTTACCCGAGTTCGATTCCCGCTCACGGCCAACACCAGTGACGATTATTTGTAACGGCCCTGGGCTTCCCCTAGGTTGATTCAGCCTCAAATTAGTACTTGGTGCGGTGTTTAAAAAAAACACTGTCACTGGGGAGACAAAGGCGGCCGGGCGTGGTGCTGGCCACCCACGCCATGGTGTGCCGTGCCGGCCTTCATAGGTGCTCCTCGCTAACAGCTAATTGACACGGCCAATTAATAAAGTTGTCACGTGCAAGTTTATTACCGCTTCGGCACCAACACCACAGCTGATGATGTTTTTGGAGAGCGATCCACACCCCACACGAGAATTGGGTTCAGAGCGACAACCATCACCAAGCACAGCGTCACGTGATCAACCTCGCACCCGCCACGCGCACGGGCCTGCTGTAGGTGGAATGCAGGTACAGGAACAGGAAGACGGTGAACCCCGGACGTGTGCTGCTGCATTGTAGGTAATCTGATCACGTGATGTCAGTGAGAACCTCACCGGTTCACGCCTCACCTGCGGCTGGAACACCTGGTGCACGTGACACACCTGGTGCACGTGACACACCTGGTGCACGTGACACACCTGGTGCACGTGACACACCTGGTGCAGGTGACACACCTGGTGCACGTGACACACCTGGTGCAGGTGACACACCTGGTGCACGTGACACACCTGGTGCACGTGACACACCTGGTGCACGTGACACACCTGGTGCACGTGACACACCTGGTGCAGGTGACACACCTGGTGCACGTGACACACCTGGTGCACGTGACACACCTGGTGCACGTGACACACCTGGTGCACGTGACACACCTGGTGCACGTCACACACCTGGTGCACGTCACACACCTGGTGCACGTGACACACCTGGTGCACGTGACACACCTGGTGCACGTGACACACCTGGTGCACGTGACACGCCTGGTGCAGGTGACACACCTGGTGCACGTGACACCTGGTGCACGTGACACACCTGGTGCACGTGACACACCTGGTGCACGTGACACGCCTGCACAGGTGACACACCTGTGTGCTGCTGCACCTGTGCAGGTGACACGTCTGCCGCAGGCGACACACCTGACTCCCGGCTCCACTGTTGATTCTCTCCCTGTGTCGATGGTGTCATGAGTACCACGCTGAGACGATGAATAGATTCGAGCTTTATTCACAACAGACGCGCATTAAATTAACACCACAGACATCCTTCATTCACTCTGGACAACATCAGCATCATGATATATCCACTGCTGGACAAAGGCGTTCGCAAAACGTTCCCATCTCTCACGGTCCCACATGCAGCCTGATCTCGTCGTTCCGTGCTGCTCAATGGATGCCCACGCCGGCGCACTCCCTCGTTTGGCTGCCGCTCACGAGCTAGCCTCGTCCACTGGCTTGTCGCCCCTGGTCGCCGTGAAGTGTCCTGCCCCAGCACAGTACAAAACTCTTCTTTATTAAACCTATTAAAACATTCATTTTGTTTTACCAGGTAAGGCTCACTAAGCTACGTAGTTCTTTTTAAGAAGTGACCTGGCCACAAATGATAGCTCAACGAAGTGGCTTATCATGTGGAATTTTATAGCAGCCAACTACTCAAAACGCGTGATGTTGATTCTAAATGTGGTGGGAAAAACCGGAGGACCAGGAGAAAAATACACACGACCACGGGAAGAGAAAACATGCGAACTCCAAATATACAGCAGGCATCAGGGGTTGGGATCGAACCCACGACCTTCTGCATACCAGGCAAGTGAGTTAACATCTCACCACTGTGGCAGTCGACCCTCCCAGCGCACAGCGTCGAGACGAGAACTTGCACTGATCCGAGCGCTGACTCGGGCCACTCTCATCCCGCCGAGTCGAGTCCAGAGCTCAACTCTCGGACTCGGGGGCCCACGGTAACGATGATGACCTATTTACTACATTTGACATTTAATCTCGGAGGAAACGAAATATACGTGACCAAATGTTTTCCCTGCGGCAATCATCAGAGATTCGATCACTTTCTGGAGCTCTCTTTCCAATTCCTGTATTTGTTTGAAAGTTCATAACGTAGTCAAACATCGGGTAACATGGCGAGGACAAATCGCGTCTGGGGAGAGGAACCTTCTCGGTCACGACGGACACGCAGAGTCTGGCATGCACCGCTGGACGCGTGCCAAGTATGGCCACAGGGCCACGATCAACTCAATTTACAATTTCACAATCGGCTTGAAGCGCCTTGGGTTAAGGTGCGAAACAAATATATAAAAGATGAGGTTAAAGTGCACAGTCAATCGGCGGGGAATAAATAAAGTGCACACACTCACTCGCACACTCACTCGCACACACACTCGCACACTCACTCGCACACACACTCGCACACTCACTCGCACACTGGCATCGCCATAGCCGTGAGTGTACCACGTGCGACATTGTGCTTAGATTTGCAACGGTTACATTAAAAAGTAGAAGTGACTTCGTGCTCAAGTTGGCGTTGAGGCGTTGGGTGCTCATCTTTCCAGTTCACAGCCACGCAGAGCCAGTGGTGGGAATTCTACATTCCTATGGCGGTGACGAGTCTATCCATAAGACAACCACTGTTGATCTTCCCCACAAAGTGGTTCTCGTTTTATCGACTACCGGAGGGTGCTGACGATGAGATTTGACCTCACGACCTTCCGCTTGCCGTGAGCCACACTCCACAGCCGGGTCGTCTGGCCGGGCAAATAAATAAATAAAGTGGCCACAACACAAACCAATCATCGCGCGCGTAGGATAAAACGACTCTGGCGATCTCGCGACTGTGCACAAATGCATGGTAGCGCACAACGACGTTTCTAACGAGTCGTCTCTGATTTGGGAACCCACATTGTCAGAGGGTGCTGTTACAATGGGACGCGTGGCCATGCATTCCATGAGAGGTGCGCGTTTGGCTGCGCATGGAAGACCCCTGAGAAAACCCAGCACCGCGCCACTGTCGACGAAGGGGTGATGCTCACAGCTCCACGCAGATCGATTCCCTAATTCCACTTCCTGTGCTTCCGTCTCTTGGCCACCACCTGGCAGTCCAGCAGGGTTTGAGCGTTTCACAGATCTCGAAGTGAGCCACCAACCACCACCTCCAAAGTGCTGGAGCGCCACACGTGCACACAACAGTTGTCTAAACCTGCGTGCAAACTTCAGAGGCCACGGGCTCCTGATCTTCACATCCCCAAACCCGTCGTCTGTATGTCCATCGTCCGCTGCCAGCACACGAATGCCGCATGTGCTGGGCCAGGTAGAGACAGCCGCCACCGGGGGAGGGGGGCGTTCCCTTGGCTATACCCACAGCAGGGTCTCGAGTGGCTGAGCAGGGATTGAATCCGTGTGACTTCACGCTTTCCTCTCCCGCCGCTCCCCCGGAGGGCTGTGGAGACGAGGGGGGGGGGGTTGGGGCGAGAGCATGACGGGTTCCTCGACTTCGAGCGCGTTCACGCAGTCCTTGAGACGTGGGCGAGGGCTCCCCGCCCACCCACCAACTGCGCCCTCAGATCCCCCGCAGGACCCTCCAGGTGGTGAGGAGGACCCCGATGCCGAACCCGATCCCCACCACCCTCAGCAGGCCGCTCCACAGGGCGTCCTCCGGGCTGGCTCCTCGGAGTTGGCTGGCGCAACCTTCCTGCAGACAGACACCAGGTGGATCGTCGTCATCGTCGTCATCGTCGTCATCGCCGCACCAAATCGAGACGTTTAACGAGTTGTCAGGTTCACTTTGTGGAAACAGGCTTCAGGCCTCAAGAGGTCAGGAAGGGTCTCATTTGCAAGGGCGACCAGCGGCGTGAGTCGGCCAGGTAGGAGGCGACGGTTGTGCTGTACAACCGGAAGTAGCATGGTTGGCTACGTACGGTGCGAGAGAAGTTCAACATACATGCAACGGAGCCATTTCGCGAATGACCACACAATGGGCTGTACTCTTGCAAATGACGTCAGGGGATCTTTTACGTCTACTATGAAGCAGACGGCAAGTGGCATTGCTATATGCTTCATAATAGCAATCGTCATTGGCCACAAAGTGGTTGGTGGTGATGTCACCACAGCGCTGGCAGGCCACGGGACAGACGACCCACTTGCCATGGGTTGACTGACTGAGATGACTGACAGATGCACCACCTGTGCTCCCCGCTGTGCCACCAAGCTGCATCTGTGAAAACGAGCTTCATAACTCATCGGATTACTGCAGTATAAATATTCTGATTCTCTATTTAGCGTCGCTCCGCTCGTTGTTGTGAGCGTCGCTCCTCTGTCCTCCGCTGTTGTTGGAGGACGACTGCCTCCAACTGGCCAGTAGTGTCCTTCACAAGCCTCTTCCGCAGTAATAATCGGGGCGGCCACTGGAATCAAACCGCGAACCTCCGATGGCAACCACGAGACGAAGGACGCCGTCATCAAAGCGACCACTCGGAAGCGATCGGGGTCACGGCCACCAGGCCAGGCAATGCGCGCTCGCCACGCGACTCTTCACAGCAGTACAACCAAGAAGATGAGCAGTACAGCAGGTGAACGAAGTGAGTCAACGTCGTGTCGACGACGACGATGCTGATGTGTACACGCTTCGTTAATCCGCTGCCATTGTACATTTGACGAGGCCAAACGTATCGGGATCGCGGCCAACATAAACGAGACTATCCAATTGGTGGTCGCAGCGTACTGTACTCAGCAGAGGTCAAAGTGACAGCGGGTGTGCCCAAGTAAACATAATGAATAATGGAGTTAAGCGTTACCGTGCTCAGCAGGGGAGAAGGTTCCAAAGAGCGCGGTGCCGCGTCTGGCTGCCATCCTCCGCCTCCTGCTACTGCCGCTGCTGCCACCCTCGAAACTCCCCCCCCCCCCCCCCCCCCAGTGGCTCAGGCCGAGGAATTCCCCCCTCGACCGCGTTCAGCGAAACGAGAAACGCTGCCCTCTCGCGAGTTTCATTCTCTCTCACCCCCCGCTCCCTCCCCCGACATCACCAGCGACGACGCCTCGAACAACGCCGGGTCCCAGCCTCTGAACCCAGACGGACACTCAATTCCCAACCTTGAGCCCCCCCAAACCCCGAACCTCATGACCGGACCCGTCTATGGCCCGAACCTCGTGACTGGACCCCGGGACCCGTCCCTGCACGAAACCCGGTGGCTTCCACCACGACTGCGACCACACCGGCGTGGCCTTCTTCCTTCATCTACCCCGCACTCACCGGCGGAGGGGAAGTATGGTCAACACCTCCCACCCCACGACTCGCACGGTGTCGGGAGGCTCTCGTCCAGAAATGTATCGACAAACACAGAATGAGGCATTGGTGCCCATCCGTGTACCGCCACCGGTGGTGGAAATTCCACGTTCCCATGCCATCTTATTTGATATGTTTTGGGCGCCTTTCGCTGAAGGCGCTTCACATAGTTTGAACGGCGGTGCAATACAAGCACGGAATGATTCCCATGGCGATCCGAGGCTACTTTGGAGTCATCGACCAAAGCAGCTGATTGACAAACGGGGCCGTGAATGCCGAGATGGTGCGCGCGCAATCTCAACCACGGCCCCAAACCCCCAACTAAAGTCGAACAAAACCCGGAGCCGCGATCCCATTCCTCACCCAGTCGCCGTGAGGCCCGGGCCGCGTGGCCCGGCATTCCGGCTCGCGTCCCCCTCTGGCCACCTCCAACCCAATCGGTCCGCCACCCATATCCCTCCTCGCCGCCACTCACCCATCCTCCGTGCTTGCTCATCCACGCGCCGCGAGTCTCCAGCAGGTACCGGGACACGCCCTCGGCGAGCGCCTCGGCGTCCACCGCGACGCCGGCGCGGGTTGCGCGCCGCGCCACGAAGCCCGCGAACACCACGACGCTCACGATGCGGCCCCAGTTGGTGACGCGGTCCTCGAACATCCTGTCGGCCACGGCGCGCAGCGTGCGCTCCGCGTCGCGCGTGGACCCCACGGGGCCCTCGGCCGCCTCCATGGCCACCGCCATCTGCGCGAGCGTCGCCCCGAAGCGCGACGTCATCTCGAGCGCGGCCGCCTCCAGCGCCTCGGCCGCGGCGCTCGGCGCCCGGTGGCCCCCGCCGGGCTCCATCGTCCACAGCAGCAGGTGCCTCACCAGGGCGGGGGTCTGCAGCGCCAGCGGGGGCGAGGGGAGAGGGGAGGGGGGCCCCGCGACCACCTGCAGGGGTGTCGAGTCGGCCTCCAGGGTCCGCGACCCTTTGTCCATCGCCCCGATCGCGTCGTCCTGCGTCGGCTCAGTCAGCCAGTCGCCCACAGGTTCCATGCTCGAGTCGTCCGCCAGTCCCGCGCAAGAGTCGACCTTGAGCTCCGGGCGGCACGTCCAACACATTGCGGGCTGTGTGCCGCGAGAGCGCCTGCGGTGCGGCTGTGTGCGTGTGTCCCTGTGCGTCTGAGCGCGCGCGTGTGTGGCTGTCTCCCCGTGTTCTCTGTCGGTATCTCTGTACGGCTGTTACTCCGCGCCCCTGCGTGCGTGGCGGTGTGTGAAGGTTAGCGCTGCCTCTGTGTGTGTGTGTGCAGGGCTGCGAGTGGTTGCGTGTATATCGGCTCCACAAAGCCCCCCAACCTCTCAGTCGCCACGCCCCTGCCGAGACTGCTGCTGCTGCTTGGGGCAGAGCGAGCAAAAGGTCCGGACGGAGTGTGTGCCAGTGTGCCCCGCCCGCTTCTCCGCAAGGAAACCTGGCGCTGGGCACATCGCCAAAACGCGAATGGCGCAGCGGCACAGGGAGAAAGTACAGACATGAAATGCGCAGAGATAAGACACAGGCGGGTGCTGTTGGTGTGATGCAGCTTCTGAGCCCTGGGATTTCCCAGTTTTACTCCCGGGTTCCTCCCAACAGGAAACCAGGCCACTGCGTTTTCACGAACGTCCGATCTGACCAAACGTGACGAGTCTTGAGACTCACTGAGGTGTATATATTTTTAGAACCTTTGAAAAATTACATCAGTACTGCTTGTACGTTTAAAGAGCGACTCTGTTTATTTTCTGCACGGGGGCGCGGGGGGGGCTAGAGAGATGACATTTTTAGCACGAGGAGAATATTTGAGAGTTCTACGACGCAAGTGAGCGCACGTCAAAACCTTAATTTACCTCGCCCGCAAATAGTGTATAGGAACAGTATATAAAACCGTGGTGGCGCGTGTGCTTTACGCCTGTGCTTAGGATATAACGAAGTTGACCGGTGGAGGTTCTGAAGTCTAAAGAAAATCGGCATTTCAAATTTCTACATTTCCGAGTTTCCCACCGCACCTCGCATGGGAAAGCGATCGATGTCGTTGAAGGGCAGCCCTTGGGGATGTTTTGTATCTGGAGGTTTTGAAAAACGAGGTTTCCAGGTATCGCATGAAATAATATAATAATAAAAAACACATTTCCGACTTTGCTCTCTCCATCAATAATTGTTTTCGGAGCGGGGGATTTTTTTTACTTTATTTTTTTTACCCAAGTCTGAGCAAATGTGTAACTAAATATTTTATAAGCTGGAAGATTTTTTTCAAAACGCTACGTTTACGATGTTCTCACCCTTTCCATGCTTTGGAGAGGGAGGGGCACATTGTTACATTGAGTAAAACCCACACAGTGTACCTGGTACTACTGGCCGAACATTCCCCAATTCCGACAAATGATCTGCCAAATACTCAATTGGGATAACACAGCAGCTGCAGCAGCAACATCGCCCCCCATCCCCGATTAGGGAAACTTGGCAGGACCCTCCTGAAAGCGAGAGGTAGTCTTGAGACTCGGCTTGCTGAGGTAAAACGGGCCAATATTTTGTTTCCAATCCAGCTACACTAATAGTCGTTTTTATTTTCTGGATATTTGAACGGAAACGAAATACCCCGCAAGAAAACAATCTACCTATTTCGGTGTCTCGTCAGCAGAGCACGGCTCGCTGGGACCGATGCTTATAAAATGCTCGGGGCATCGAACGCTCTCTGTTAGACGTGGGTCCTAGTTCCACGTAAAAACCGTGCGTAATACACAACTCGACACAAGCATTAGCGTCGCCGTGGATACTATAAGGCGATGTTGAAACCCATCCAAAAGTGTGCTTGTTGAACGAACGCTGATTAAAGATTCCACGCTCCCAGAAGGCCGTGTAGCTGATGGGATGTGTCAATTGGATACTTTTATTTCCCTATATCGCGGGATAGAGATAGAATAGTCGGCGTGTTTGTTCTGCTGCCTGTGGGTTGGGCAAGCAGTCGTAGCTTCCGGATACTTCTGGGCTATTGCCGTCGCCGTGCGAAGCCATGAACTGCGTTCCTTGCCATGTATGGCGATGTGCGCGTTGCAGTTCCGTCACGTCAGCCAACTTCACGTGGGGTCCCCTTACCTGGGGGTCGTACAAATAAACTGTTACAACTCGACGACCCTCACTCCACAGCAAGTGTGACTTACTAGCCTGGAATGCGCATCGTCACCCCCACCACCACCAGCAGCATCGCTTTTGTCATCGTAGGGCGCGCGTGCCTCGGAGCAGGTTTACCCCCATCTGTGACTCCAGTCCTCTTCCCGTGGCTTTCAACTACAACTGAACACGCCCCGAGCAATCACACCCACTCATCCACTCGCTCATTGAATCAACCACCCGTGTCGAGGATTCCGTGTACGAGGCGCCGACTGTTTAGTCCCATCCACCGGACTGTATTGAACCACCGCACATACTGCCACAAATCCTCATTCGTGTCGTTGTGAAGAACACAAGTCACAGGTCACAAACACACTCACCCACCCACAAAACCACTCATTCACCCACCCAATCACCGCACTGCAGGTGACCTCCCCTGTCTCGGCATTTCCCCTCGCACTGCTGCTGCACTGTTCATTTCCCTCCTCCCATCACCAGCATCATGGTGGTGGTGCTGGCCGGGCCAGCACCACGCCTGGCCGCCTTCGTGTCCTTAGTGGCGATGTTTACACATAGCAACAGGTACTCATTTGAGGCTGAGTTCACCTATACATGCGAACATATACTCACCTACTTGCATACAATATAGGCTCAAGGACCGGTGCAGATAAAACTCGTCTTCATGTGGGCCGTGGGTGGGAATCTAAATTGGGAGGCTGGATTCGTAATGCTGTGTGCTAACCATTGCGCCACCGCTCTGGATTAGATCACAGCCGCACACATTCCTTCACTGCTACGCGCACACACACGCCTAGTAACATTCACACACAATGCGCACACACACCCCCTTGTGACACATACACGCCATTCCGAACATTTTGTACTAGCCGCATGCCACACGCATTGGTCTTTCCGGTTTACACAGCTGCTGAGTACACGACCACAACTTGAGCAGCCAGCAACAAACAGCACCGTCAAAGCTGTAATAGATAATGATGTATACGGGAATATGCAGTAAGAGGGGTGAGGTGACGTGCAGTGTGGCGAGTGAGTGCTGGTTGAGTGGGCGACTGACTGGCGGCCAATGTTGTGACCTGCAGTGTGGTGGTGAAGCAGTGTGGGTGAAACTCAAGTGTATGGTGGGGCGAGTCGTCAACGCTAGAGGATGAATCAACGAGGCGAGTTCACGGGGACAGTGACCGTGGTAGCTTGGACAGAAGGGCGATCAGCAGGCGACCGACTGCCGGTGAGCGAGTGACTGGGGAGCGGCAGTGGAGCCGACGAGTCCAGTGACACAAGTTTGATTCCCACTCACGGCCAACACCAGCGACGATTATCTGAACCGATCCTGGGCGTCCCCTAGGTTGACTTAGCCTCAAATGAGTACGTGGTGCGGTGTGTAACCATCGCCAATCGGGAGACAAAGGCGGCCGGGCGTGGTGCTGGCCACCCACCCCCTCGTGTGCGATGTAGCGCCTTCATAGGTGCTCGCACTTGCCGCAAGTCTGTTAAGGCTATACGGGGAATCTTTGCTATTTGGAGGGAATACGTCAGTGCTGGACCGTGAATCACCCCGACTGCTTCAGGCCTCTGAATTATGTCCAATGCAGTGGGGTATAAGCGACAGCAGCAGCAGAATACCATCCTCAACCGAATGTGCACCGGGTAGAGCAGCTTTGGCACGGAAAAGCAAACCACGGTGCCTCCTCACCCAGGTGAAAGATGCAGCCAATCCTCGACAGCTCAAGGAAAAATGTTCGTGCAAAGCAGTCGTGGTATTCCTATGGATAAGAATACCATCGTCAAATATGGGACTGTGGTATTACCAGTACTGTTTGATGTGTTATTGTCATGACTTGATAGTGGCCATCATCCACCAGCGGATTGACCAAGACAACTGCTGAATGTGCCTTTTCTCCAGCAGCTGCCACTGTGGCTCTCATCCAGCAGGGGAGACAGCATGCTCGCCATGATGTCAATGTCGAAATGGCGTTGCGTGTCGAGTGTTCGCGAACAGCCTTGCCCCAACAGCCTTGCCCCAACAGCTCGCCATGATGTCAATGTCGAAATGGCGTTGCGTCTCGAGTGTTCGCGAACAGCCTGTTGCAGGCGATGCGGAGGGACCTGTCGTGTGGTGTCATCACGCCACCTACAGGGCGGCCGTGGAGGGCGCAGCCACAAAATGGGACCTGTTTGCCAGTATCAAAGTATGAAGAAATAAGAATCGGTTTCACCGTTTCTGGCAATAAAACAGGTGTTAAGATGTTCAACCACCAAATAGAAACTTTATGCAAGGAATTAAGTCTGAATTAACTCGTGAACATGCAATCGTGCTCGGATATAGGCATCGCCATCGAAACAGATTGGCCTATTCCAGCTACATCCTTCCCGAGGGCCTCGTCTCACCAGCGTCAGCCCAGAGAAGGCACCCACACTCTGGCTGCACTCCAGAGCGCCAGTGCCGCTCACGCGGGTCTGTGTGGGGCTACTTGGGTTGTACAACGATAGCGGTAGGGGAGCGATTAACCCCCAACACGCTACGAACCTGGCCAACACCAGCGACAATGATTTGAACCGGCCCGGGTCCTCCTCTAGGTCAACTCAGCCTCAAAATGAGTACCTGCTACATTGTGTAAACCGCTTACTAGGGAGACAAAGGCGGCCGGGCGTGATGCTCTGTGGTGCAATTGCCCTCGTCCTTAGCTCGACTGTAAAAGCGCAGCCCTGCAAGTGCACGTTTACACCACTGCTGGCAGAAAGGCCGCCACGAGAGGGGAGCTCTTGAGAGTGTATTGGTCTACTCTTCCAGGCGTCTCGTAATAGGTGGGCGTATCCACAATCTATCGCACCGAACGCGAGCTTGCGGTCGGCTGCGGTGTGACCCCGTTTACGCAGCTGGGTGAAGAGACGTGGAGGGGGGTCACGGGGGTAGCTACCTCGGTTTCTAATGCCGCTCCGGAAGATGAAATTGAATCAACGACCTCTGGATTGCGAGTCCAGTGTGCTACCCACCACACGACAGCCAACCAAAACAAGGTAAAGCTGTCGTGGTCGTTACGAGAGATGTGTGTGGCAAGCCAGGAAGATTGTCCCATGCAGTTACCGACAACGCATAATGCCCGATGTTAACAGCCCGAGTGTAATCGTGACATGCTTTGATGTTGTTTGCCGGCCGAATCGCCCCCCTTGAAAAAGAGATTATTAGCTCAATGGCCTTTACTCGGGACATAAACTTCCCGAGTGTGTTCAACGTCCATGTACACCCTGCCGGTCACCTCGGCACCTGTGTCCGTCTCGTTACCTCCTGCCAGCAGCGAGCTTTCCATACTGCACGCAGACGGCCCTCAAAGTGCACCTAACCTGGCACAAACGCCGTGCCGACGTCACCGCTACCTGAGTGTCGAATGGGCGGCTGCTTGTTGTAGCCGTGTGAACTCACCCCATGTGAATTGGATCGCTTGGACAAACGTGAGGCTGCTGCAGGGCTAGTGGCCAGTAGAGGGCAGTGCCGTATCAATTTCAGCAAGATCGACGCTCCCACGTGTCTACGTTGCCCGCCTTCACCAAACACGCACTGCCCAGCGTAGCGAAGTATGGTCAAACAAACCCCACGACCCGCACGGAGTGGGAAGGCTTGCACACGGCAGTGGAATGACCGGTGATGCATATGGGTTTGCTGTGCAACTTCTGCGGCCACTAATGGCCGCTAGATTCACCCCAAGGTGAACAACCGAATAGCCAAAGGGTTGGGCGAGTGGTAAGCCCTGAAGGAATAGGCAGAGCAGGGTGGCATTACCACTTTACTGGGGACCACTTACTCAGAATGACTATTTCCATGTTCCCTTTCTTGGAAAACCCCCAGGATAAGCCCAGCGCCTTCGTGTAAACAGAGCCGCCTTTATTTCTAAAAACTTATTTACACCGTTTCCTAAAAACTGTATACAAATATATTTATATCCGACACTTGCCAAACATCCGGTGCATCCGATTCTCAGGTTTGGCTGTGGCGAGAGGCAATATAATGGCCGTCTCTCGCACAGCCACAACCTACCAACGACCCGGGCAGCCATACACAAGCCTCACGCACCTGCACGTACGCACACAGGCATGGAATGGCATAGCCACTCTAAGTAGATTCATAGTGACTACTCAACTCATAATCACCCCCGCCCTTCAAGCCGGGGGCATTTCAGAGTACTTCACTACGTTAAGCGATTGGGGCAGCAGCCATTCACCACGAGATGGTTGTAACATCACCACGGCGCCTGTGCCAGGCTTGGTGGACGTTGAGACCATGTGGAGTGTGCAAGGCTCTCGCTACTGCCAAGTGAGAGGATAGGCCGAGGCGTTTGTAGGTTGACCGAGACGACTGGCAGATGCACCACCTGTGCTCCCCACTGCCAAGTTACGTTGTCCGCCAAACACGCCGCTCGTTGTTACGAGCGTCGCTCCTCTGCCCGTTGTTATCGGAGGGCGATTGCCTCGAACTGCTGTGGCGTTTCGATTTAAAGCTGTCGTGACTGCAGGGATTCATCTTCTTGGTTCTTTCGGTAAAGTCACGTAGAAGGGAAATAATAAAAATTAAACATAATAAAATTAAATTCTCACGTTTCGGCCACAACACAAGCAGCCGTCCTCGGGTGAAGACAGAGCTGTCTGAAAGACAGCGCTCCAATGAACACGGCTAAGCTTGGAAGCGTATTTTATGCTGGGTGGGAGAAGAGCGCCTAGACAAAGGAGTTTACATATCAACAGAATACTTTTGCATTGAATAAGCCGTGTTAATGTGAGAGAATTAGCAGGATGTTAAAGTCAGAAATAAGCATGTAACTGGGAGATTATCATGATGTTAATGTGAGGAATTAGCATGTAACTGGTCACGGAAGTGGCTGTGTTAAAGTAAGAGTTTACATATCAACAGAGGCATTTAGTATATTGCCGCTAAAGAATCTACCAGTTACATGCTAATTTCTGACTTTAACATCCTGCTAATTCTCTCACATTAACACGGCTTATTCAATGCAAAATTATTCTGTTGATATGTAAACTCCTTTGTCAAGGCACTCTTCTCCTCCCACACAGTTTAAAATACGCTGCCAAGCTTAGCAGTGTTCATTGGAGCGCTGTCTTTCAGACAGCTCTGTCTTCACCTGAGGACGGGCTGCTTGTGTTGTGGTCGAAACGTCGTGAGAATTGTATTGTTTTATTTGTATTATTTCCCTTCTACGTGACTTTACCAAAAGAACCAAGAAGATGCTGTGGCGTTCTTCACAAGCCTCCTCCACATAAAGAGTGGTAAAAACTGGCGAAGAAAACCTGGAGCTTGGAATTGAGCAATTTACCAGGCCCAAAGTGTTACGCAGCTGATAAAAGATGCAACAACTAATTTGAAAAGGAACCTCCACTGCCAAACCAGGGCTCGTCGTAACAACACTGCTGAGGTATGGGAACTCCTCCACGCTCTTGCCAATTAACTGGTGGAGGGAGATTGGAGGGATAAGGGGATTCCCGTGCGAGGCAGTGGCCGTGGCTCTGCGCTTAACACTTGATAGCCATTTCACTTCCATGCCAGCGCAATGAGAAGCCTCTCAGCCACTGAACTGCATGCATCACAGGGCCTCTGCCGAAGAGGCGATGCAGATCCTCAGCTCTTATTCACAACACACGCATGCATGCATGCTGCCAGGCACCGACACCACACACTTAAAAAACACAACCTCCAAGGCAAACTTATGTACATTACCTTCCACTTGTTTTCGTCAACAAAACATTCAAACTTTGCACGAGTGATACGACCTCAACTTGAGATGAGAGTTTTATATCGAGAAAATATGACCCTCCCCTCACGCTGTGGACCAAGCCCTCTTCGGATTGTTAAAAACACTTCTGATTTATCCAACATCATTTTTTGGGGAGAGCTTTTGTTGTACGAACCAGAACCGCCAAAACAGAGCCGCAATGAACTCCGCAATGCAAACGACGCGACTTGGTGCCGAGCAATTGTTTTAGCGGCAGTCTTCAGAATTGACGGCCAGCACTCCAGCCTTCATTGCTTTGGCACACGTCTTCCTCATCACGGCTTCACCACTCCTCGCGAGTCTTAGTTCTGCAACGACGGCCCCCTACTGGCCGCAGCAGTAGTAGCTGCGGCATTTCTCGCAAGCGGCCCCCCCCCCCAGTTCCTGCAGAAAGTCAAGCAAGCTTCGGGGAGAGCCAAGTGAGCTTTGGGGCAGGCAAAGCTGCCGCACCGGCCGTCGGCCGTATCGCACCGGTGGCAAAGACGAATGCGCGAGCGCGCCGCCGGCTGAAGGACAGGCACGGGAGGCGCCGGAGCGCGGCATTGTCGGGCGACGCTAGCGAGCACGGCTCAGTCACCGGCTGAGGTCGCGTGCGCCGACTCCAGCGCTCAGATCGCACGCGGAGGGAGGGAAGTAGGGATCCATGCCGCTGAAGAAGGGGTGGCGCAGCGCCTGCGCGAGCGTGATGCGTCGGGACGGCTCGTACTCCAGCATGCGCTGCAGCAGGTCCAGCAGCTCCAAGTGCTCCTGGCTGGAGGCCAGCATACAGCGCTGTGCGCACACACACACACGGGGATACGGATTCTTCTACAGATAGTCCAGGTGCCAAAAATAGTTGTTTGGAAGAACATAAATTTAAAGACTTGTAGAGAAACACAAATTCACACAAGACACCCAGACTCACAGGGACACAGACTGAGAACGAGCCATAACCTCACAAAGATAGCCACAGACTAACGTAGAGGCCAAAGACACGCACAGCCTCAGCAAGAGAGCCATACATTGACAGACAGCCACTCACACAGCAACCCAGACTCGCATCGAGAAGCAGACTCGGCAAGAGCCATAAAAACTTGCACAGATCCACACACACAAAAACCCAGAAACTTGCACAGGGCTATCGGACTCACAGATCCACAGGTTCATGCAGACAAACTCACGTAGAGACTCCGACTCAGAGGCCCAACGACTCAAGATAGTCATACATAAGGATTTAAGGAGGTGCATGTTCAGTGGTGCTTGCTTAAAAGCCTCAACAACTCAAAGTGCCTCAACATCCAATCGTAGTTTAAACACGTAGTAGCAGGCTTTCGCGACCAATATAATCCATAAGGGGTTTTTTAGGTTAGATCTCATAAATATAAATGTGTTGTTAAACTCGCCATAGCCAATTAGTAACAAAACTTGCCAATTCATGACTAGTTTAGCACACTGGTGTGTTGGAGAGTGAACCCACAATATTTAAAATTGTAAATTTCAACTATTCCACTGCCCTGCTGAAGTTCAGCCCAGAGGACTCCCTGTGCAGGTGTCCCTTGTCTGGCGCAAGGTGAACCCAGCACCGGCTTGTGAATAGGAATGCGTCTGCCAATAGGGGGCAATGCTGCGATTGGATTTTCCAGTGAAGTAATTTGTGAGAAACCATTGTTGGAACATTACATCAGAACGCAAGAACGACTCGATTTAGAACGTCACAGGATTTTAAATATCCACGGCGATGCAGAGAGTGAATTATTAACTGTTGAACACCGCACGTCCTTTGCTGCAGTGGTGGTCGATAAAGAGCCCGTGACGTCAATCAAATAGAGTCGGCCATTGTGGGCCAGTATCACGGTCCAAATTTACCAAATGCCCAAAAAACTACACCGCGAATTACTCAATGGGGATCACACATGGGCATCAATCATCGCCCACTATTGGCCGAATAATTACCCCTTGCAGGTCATGTGCCGAGTCAACCTGTGCCACAGAGAGACAACTCCCACTGGAGGTGTCCCTTTCAAATGTTTGTAATAAGATGAGATGAAAGTCACTTAACGCAGGTGAAGCCAAGATGCCCCAGCATAGAGGGCGGGCTCTACCCAAAACATAACTTTCCTTGATGTTGTTGTTACCCTGGTTCGTCTCCTGTGTGTGGGTATATATGTAAAGAACATTCGCCAGCCAGCAGGTACCTTCAGGGGCTTGCAGTTTTGACGCACGAACCTGCCGGCCATGCCATCCTCGTCCCAGTCCAGCCGCCGGCGACGGAAATACTTCTGCTTCCTACACGGAACATTCAGAAGAACGGCAATCACAATCATTACTCTCAGTGGCAGTGTGAGTGGCAACTTCTGCCCACTACGAGAGGGTAGCTCTATGCTATCCACCTCCGAGAGCCATTATATAATACACAGGGGGTTGCGCTGCACTGCGAGTTGCCAAATTAATACTTTGGCTCAGGATTTGATGCCGCATTGGAAATTAAATATAAAATTAAACATTTTAAAATTGGTAGGATATATTTAAAGAGAGAAGGTGACAATCAATACAGGTAGTGGCATGCAGTACCAGCATCCAGAGCGGCACTGACACAAAGCGTGACGGAGATCGGCTTTTCAAATATTTTTTTATACAAAATGTGGATTTATGTAGCGTTTTACATAATGTGGCCGCATCTCAAGACTAAACAGAAACCATGGGGGCTTATTCATTTTGGGGGAAGAGGCAGTAAGACAGGAGAAAACGGGCTTGAGCCAGCATTCACCTCGTCGCTCTGATCATGTCAGAGGGAATCCGTCCCAGAATCCTCTCCATCATTGCCAAGTGCTCCATATTGTCGTGGGTCTGTTAAGGGGAAAGCAGTGAGCGAGTGAGCGCTGATGATCGTCTCGAGCCCAGACTCACACCCGTCTCATCCATTGTTCAACCACCGCACTACAGGTCACAACAACTCACTCATTCATCCACCTAATCACCCACCACACTGCAGATTACAACACACTCCCCTACCCACTCACTAACCCACCCACACACACTCGCTCACTCACCCAACTACTTGCTCACCAATCCATTCTCACTCAACCACCTATTTGTGCAGTTACTCACTCCCCCACCCACACATCATACCACAGGTCCCAACACTTTAACAATCTCGCTTAAATGAAGAAACGCATCACACGCTTTACCCGTTACAACTGAGAATTTTCTGTTTTGTTGCTGGCAGCTTGACATTGTGGGCCTTTGGGCCTGTGGCTCAGCAAGTGTGTTACTCAAACAGCACGCACGCTTTTACACACACGATTCCCGTGAGCTGAATAACGCTCCCCCGCAGACCCGTGCATGAACACTTGCCGATCGCAGCGCCTGTCCAACCTCACAGGTGTCTCACCTGGAACAGTGTGTACCCTGCGTAGTACTCGAAGAAGATGCACCCGAGGCTCCACACGTCGCAAGGGTGGGACCAGCCGAGTTCTGTTGGGGAAGGGGGGGGGGGGAGACAATATGGCAGCCAGACCCTTAGCCAATAGCAAAGCGTAATAACAGTCTCTGTTATTATAACAGTAGACTCTTATCCGCGTGCAGTTTATCTGATTTGCGGATTAAAAGCTAATGTCTTTTCTCTTAAATCCAAATGAACAATCTAAAAAAGTTTTAGGTTGCTATTCCTGGACATGTTTATTACAAGTCACGTGCTTAACCTGAACGTATGTGCTCCAGTTAATCTGAAATCCAAGTGATCGCCTCTACAGTAGTCTTTATAACAGCAGGCAGTTTGATTACTTTTTATTGGCATGGCTCTGCTATCCACTTAGTGGGAGGAGTCTTCTACATGGGGAGTTTCAGGAGCGAGCATCGTGCGCGAGCCTCGGATTTCCCTGGTGAACTCAGTTGTCCACTCCTGCACGGCACACTCACCGAGGATGACCTCGGGCGGGCGGTAGTGGCGCGTCGACACCGTTGTGCTGTGGTACTCGTGGTCGAAGGTCGCGCTGCCGAAATCCACGACCTGCAGGGTCGGGTCCTTCACTGTGCGTTCGTTCCTTCTCTGTTGAAACCACAGCACCACCATCGCACCACCAGTGTCACCAGTGTCACCAGTGTTACCTCGGTGCCACCGGCGCGTCACCAGCCCACGCGCTGACTTGCAGTGTGAGCTCGCATACCCGTGCAGCCATCAGAACCGGTTCTCACCATCAAGTTGCAAGCACCGAATTTTTTTCAATTAAAATGTTATCCTTGGTGAACGTGGAGATACTTTTCACTGTACCAATGCATAATGTGCAAGTCGTAGATTGCTTTTTTTTGTATATTTGCTGTGGGCGCATGAGTGTTTGTAAATGTATTGTACTCAACCAGACATCAATGACGACTCGAAATAACCTACGCTTTTTATTATCATCGTTGTATTAGTAAATAGGCAAGGAAGGGTGCTTCGATTCATGGATTGAAATCAGGATCACTGGGGGGCGGTGGGCAGGGAGATGGGCGGGCGACCTGACGCACCTTGTAGGAGTTGTACTTCACGTGAAAGTCGGAATTCACAAACAAGATGTTCTCGGGCTTCAGATCGGTGTGCGTCAGCTTGTTGTCGTGCAAAACTGTGATGCGGAGACAAAATAGGGGGACGGCACCATCACCACGGGGTCATTCGCGAGGCAGAGCAGCTCCACCACGCGCGCCGTCTCCGAGTCGCCGTTCACACCCTCCCCCCCCCCCCCCTCAGCAGACGGCACGTCCACCAGCCACTCGGCTACATCAGACCGACAGCCACGCCAATGACGTCCACGCCGCTCTTGTTGATGAATGATCCAGACCTCGCCGATTCACTCCATTCACTCGCTCACCGGTAGTCGGTCGCCTCAGCACGCTCTTATTGCTACGACCAGGTTCACCGTTCCTCCACCCATGCCAGCATTCACATTCACTCATCTAATTCCAAATAAGCTCGGGCATTCACTGTGGACCCATATTCCAATATAACGTCAGCCAGAAGGGTCCTGTAAAGTTTGCACAGTAGGGCGTGATGTTACTATGCATGATCCCAAATTGAGTAATTTGCTGGTAAATTTTCAGCATTGGGATGTTTTGGCCAATACCAGATACACTGTTTTATCTATGGGAGGAAACCAGAGAACAGTTTAAGTTTAATGTATTAGGTATAGCCCTGTGAGCCATGCGGCTCTTGACTCGGGTGTGACCGCAACAAACTAAAACATGAACAAAGAACATCTTAAACAATATACAAACTCCACACATAAAAGTGCCCGAGCCAGAAATCGAACATCTCAATAGAGGGCCTGGGAAATTGTTGACAGATTCTGGCTGCCTTCCCACTTGCCTGTGGTTTCCAGCACCTCCGAACCACTCTCTCCAAGTGTGAAAGAACCATGTGGGGCGTTAAAAATTTGTATGTTCAATCAACGGTGGTCGTAGTGGAGGTGGAACTCCGTGTACTCACATTTGACGGCGCGGCACAGCTGGTGGGCCATATGCCGCACTTGATGGAGAGGGAAAGGCAGGTAGAGGTTGTCCCGGAGGAAATCGAAGGTGCTGAGGCCGAGCAGCTGGAAGACGATGCAAATGTGGCCATGGTAGTCGAACCAGTCGTACATCTGCACACACAGCCTGCCATACGAGGATACAGTGGCGTCACGGCGCGCACGCACGATGGCATCTACTGGGCAGGCCCAGCGAAGCGGGGCGACTTCCCTCTACGCTTCCGTGCGCCTTGTGCCGCACAGGGGCTTGCTGCCACTGGGGTCCTCCCTTGGCTAGGTTGCAGCGGGGCAATGGAATAAGTTCAGATGAGATGTGTTAAGCTGGCACCACCAATGTACGTGCAGGTGCCTACACCGCTCATTGTCAAGACACATCCGGCAACTCGTGTCTTGTCACTCAACATCAGTGGCACCAATTCCTGATCTCGCAATAGCCGTATCGAATTGTAAATGTCACAGGAGAACATGTGTTAAATAAATACATACAATCTGAAAACCTCTTCCCAAAGAGTCTGGCCAGCGTGGAAGAGTAGGCCGATAAATACCCTCCCAGAGGAGGTCTCCAGAGCCCCCAATAGTGGAGGAGGCTCTCTGCCTGCAGTGGCATGAACAAGGAATTGCAGGGTTGCCCCTTTACCCTTCAAATACAACGCGGGGGGGGGGCACACTGCTACGCCTCAGCTATCGGGAGTGGACACTCGCACGCAGACAGACGCCAGTGACCGGGGTGCAAACGAGACGGACGCTCTTGTACTCACTGTTTGCCATCGCAATGTTTCTCGTTGATTTTTTCGAGCACGTTGATTTCTAACTTTGCGGCTTCTCTGTATTTGTCCACATTTTTTATAATTTTTACAGCCACCTCAGATTTGCCCCTGTGAACGAGAAAGTTGCCACTTATTATTAAAAAGGAAACGTGAACACAGACGTCACCTGCAAACTGCATTTGCAACAAGACAAGAATGATTTCTGCTCAAATGGGTGGAGGCAGCGGTTGCAATTCCACATTCTTATGGTGGGTGGGGGGCAAGCGTATCCATGAAGACCACTGTTGATCTTCCCCACAAAGTGGTACTCGTTTAACTTAGTACATAATTTGGACCCCTTCAGAAAAGGGGGGGAAGGGAGCAAGTCAATCCCCACTATGGTGTGAACTTGTGACCTTCCGTTTACTAGCCACTCGCTCTGCCGCTGAGCCACATGGCCACTAAGGCAATTCATGCAGCAGATAAAACGCACAAGATGGGAAGGTACCGGTGTGTCGCTGTGCTTACCCGAGGTGGTCGGCACATCGAACAACTTTACCAAAGGTCCCTTCCCCTAAGGTGGAAATAACTTCATCTAAACAGGAAGACAAACACAAAGTCAGTGACAACTGTACGCAAACAAAAAATACTTTTCAATTATGAATTACTGCAAAGGTAAATATTGCCTTTCAGATCTGCACAAGGTGTTTGCTGTGCGAGGTTTACGTTAAACTATATGCTTGTGCGTTTGTGATGAAATGCACCATAACATCAAAACATGTTATCTGAATAATTGGTGCTCGTAAGTAACAGATGATAAGAACGAGAGAGGAAACATGTGAAGAAACACACAAAAATACTATGACAGGTTCTGACAAAAAAAATTTGACACTAGAGAGCGCTAAATGGTTACGGAAGGAGCTGTACATCTCGCTTGCAGCCAGTCGCCGATCCGATAGATTAGGTGGCCGTCTGAGTCATCTTGAACAATCTTGGCCCGCCGCTGATGCCTCTCCTTGCTCCTCTGTGGTCGCCACCCAGTTTCCCGGACCAGCGGTCAAGCGGCACACCGTAAAGACCCGGCCAAATCGCCCGCGGCGGCAGAAGGGGGGCGGCAGCCAAAGTGGCGCGCGCGAGCAGGGTGCCCCGGGGATGTCCGCAAAAACGCGTTTCAACGGCAGCGACGGCAGGTGGTGGGTGGTCGGCAATGGCATTGTGTCGATGCCCGGCAATGCATTTGTGGCACATGGGATGTATAAACGATAGGGATATCGCAAGGGACATGTGAAGATACAGGCACGGCTACAACACGGTCATATGTTCAAACTTACACTTTTTTTTCAAACAGACTTGCGGCAAGTCGACCCGTCAGCGCATGCAGGACAGTACAATAAATTGGCTACCGCTTGCTACCAATAGGCAATCATCTACACTAGCGATAACAC